TAAATATGGCATATGCAAAAAAAAGAAAAAAAAAGGCTTTACAAGGCCCAACTCTGATTGATATGCATGACTACAATGTTTTCATTGTACTTGAAAGCAAAATAATCCAGAGACAAGCAAAGGATTTTTAAACTTGACCTTATTTTTAAAAATAATTAATTAATTAGACTATGTGCAATTCAATCACTCTTTCTACAATGTTAAAATCTTTCAGGATAATCTTTCTGTGTATTAGTTACCTTTTCCAATTCCAAAGGCCTACTTCAGACTACATAAATTTGCTATCTGCAATTGCTTAACCTTGCTTGTGACACTGAAAATATGTATTTACTGAGTACTCACTACTAATGAACAGTTTAGCAGGGTACAGGAATCTAAGTTGAAAATCATTTTCCTCAAATCTTTTAATATTTTATTTATTTATTTTTAGAGAGAGGGGAAGGGAGAAAGGAAGAAAGGGAAACATCAATCAGTTGTTTCTTACACAGCCCCAACTGGGGACCAAACCCACAGCTCAGGACATGTGCCCTGACCAGGAATCGAACTGGTGACCTTTTGCTTTGTGGGACAACAACCAACCATCTGAGCCACACTGGACATGGCATTTCCCTCAAATCTTGTAGAAAACTCTTCTACTGTCTCCTAGAATCCACTGATTTTGATTAAATCTCATTGAGTACCTTGCTTCCTCCTTTTTAATCTTTGAGGACCTGCTCCTGATCCTCAGTGCTCCAAGATCTCACAATACTATACCTAGATGTGCTTCTTTTTCTCATTCATTGTGCTAACATCAAACAGGCTCTTTGAATATCCACAACCCAGAGACCTCATATCTTCGAAGTCTTCGTCTCCATTGTTCTCCTCCCCGTCATCACAAGCCTCTCCCCCATCGTCACGCCTCTCCTGACGAGCTTGTCCTCATCTGAATCTGCAGTCCTTCTGAACTTCAACATCCCATTCGCTCTCCAATCACCACTTAGGTTCTTCTAGTTCACGTGATCTGTAATTCCCATTTCACTTCTTAAACCTTATTGGGATCCACTGAAGCCACAATTTTTCACCATATATCAGCTTTCTCTAATCTTTATTTCTCTTGTCATTTTAGATTTGGTAGTCCACTATTATAAATATTCTCATAAAAATAGTTTATCTACAATTCTGTTTCAAAATCCCAGCCCTGAGTTTAGTTGCTTGGAGGCTGATAAATCACCACCAGGACGAATAGATGAAGGATGACTGGTTTTACTTCAGAATGCAGGATCTCGAACTTCAAATGAGACTCAACATTGCCTTATTCATGAGTTTGCTTCCTTATTCTCTAAGACACCAAGGTCATACCTTTTTTTCAAAGTTAGTTTTTCATCAAGCTTCCTTATCTTTCTACCAACAAGTCTACAAAGTCTCCTTGGATCTGCATCCCACCCCTCCTCATCCCCAAAGACTTCACTGCTTTGTGATCCCTGTCTCCTTCTTGATTATCTGCCTCTCCCACTTAACTCAATCATTTCAGTTAATATTCAAATGTGTTCTAATATTGCTCATTTAAAAATGAAACGAAACATTCCTTCCAGCTACATCTCACTTCTGAATTACTGAGTTTGGCTGTCCAATTCCTTCTGAAAACACTTCATACTTGCAACACTGGATACTCTAAATTTATCCTTGGATTAAGCTGCCGTTTAGACTGCCCGATTTGAGCTCAGACAGAATTATACACAGTAAATTGAGTTTCATCATTATTTTTAATGGTCTACAAAATTTGCTGCTAGTAAGTTATAACTGCATAAGTATAATAATTATAAAGACAAGTTGTAGACATTATTGAAGAAGTTAAGTTGTCTTTGTGACATTCAGAAGAGAAACTGCATCCTGAACTCTGCATCAGTAAATGCTGTCCATTTCCTAAACTGATTTACTCTTTGAACATTCTGCAAATTAAAACTAAAATGCTCTCCTGTCGTTTTTAGCCTGCAAGCACCTTACTGGTTGTACAGGGCTCATCTGAGTGCTGATCTTGGGAATCCTTACCTTTATTAACTGCATGCTCTTATTTTCTCTGTTTCCTTCACTATTTATTTTCTCCTTTCAAATTGTGAAAATTCTTGTAGACTATTTTAAATCCTTTAAGAAACATGCAGAACAAGGCAAGGTACAAATAGGTGCAGGACAGTGAAGGTTAAGACAGAGCTAGAGAGAAGACGACCGAGGAGAGCACAGACATGGAAAGGGGCAGGAGGAGGCTGGGAAAGAAAGGGCAGTGTTCGCTGTGCGAGGTGACAAGTCACCAGGTGGATCTGCATCTTAAGAAACGGGCCTGGCAGGAATGCATCACTCACTCAGGCAACAGCATATTTCTTCCGACGTCCCACTGGACTGAATCAGGCAAAGTCATTGACGCCCATGTAGAAATAGTCTACGATTCTGATTAGAAAAATATTTGATCTCATAAAATTTGACCTGTCTTGTTATTCTTAACAAGTCCATAGAGGTATCATATACAAAACCCCTGCACATGTGTACTGTGTGTGAGTTAGTTAACTTAGACCTGCTCATACATCCGTAAAACTGTCACGAGGATCAAAGTAACAGACATCACCTGCCACCTGTCTCATTACTTTCAGTTTAGGACTGTGGAAATCACTTTAAGAATTTTACTAGTGTAGAGTATTTTTCCTAAATACCCTTACCTTCAAAGCTTTGCTTTTTCAGAATTTACATAATAAACTCTAACAACTCTACTTTCTGAAAATAAAAACCTATTCAGCTGCCCCAGTCACTGCGATTTAATATCTGAGACAATGAGCTTCGTGCATTCTTTCCTGTCTGTGTTGCCTGCTCTCTCCTGAATCGGGGAACGGAACTCAGTGAGCTGCCACACAGCACACTGTGCTGCCATGCAGCACTCTGACGCCCTGGTTGACTGCCACGCTGGTTTTAAAAAGAGATGAACCTGTGCAACCCAGAGAAAACACTCACCAAGACCCAAGGGCAACTCTGTAGAGGCACTCGCCTGTTTACTAGAGAAGAAATGGGTTCTTCGAATATGTAGACTTTTTCTGCCAACCCAGATGTTTAGACTGAAGATGATGTGTCTTTCACAAAGCCGAGAAATGCCAGGCGCAGACTGGGCACAAATTACTTCACTGCTTCCTTGGGGCTCGACGTTCCGACAGAGCAGTACGGAGCTCTAACACCTGCCCCCGCCCCAGGAAGCTGGATTTCCTACACATCCATCTCCCTTCATCAACAAGGGCAGCTCCTAAGTAGAATTCTGTGTGTCCCTGAAGCCAAAAAACCATCAGGGAATTGTAACAGCTTCTCTTCAGGGGGCAGGTGACACAGTTCGTGTGGTTCCTTACTTTAAAGGTCCTACTCCCACCCCCTTAGCCTGTCTGCCCACACCACGGCTATGTCCAGAGACTGCCACCCATGCAAACACATGTGACTAAATCAGGTAAATAGCCAAATATTTGGTGATGTTTACTTAATGGTAACATAATCATGTCCCCCAGCAATGCTCTAAACGTTACTTTATCTAAAAAAGGATAAATATAATGCATTGGGACAGAAATATCCCTATTTTTCACAAAGAATAACTTCTTGCCTTTCTTTAATGACCTCAACTGCAGACTCATCACACAGCCTCATCACCTGAAGTCAAACAGATGTGCACAGTTTCCCACAGAAATGTTGGCAACAATTTTTGAGTTTAACTAAAGAGTTTAACAAACAGACATGTACCACACTGATTCCATCATCCAAGTGAAGAGGAGAGCTAATCGAAACACAATGGTGTCGATGAGAAGAAGATTACAATCACGGCCAATCACAAAACCCTCCAGAAATACAGAATCTTCTCGTTCTTCTCAGAATTGTCTTGGATTTCTGGGCCTTACTCTAGAATATCCAGGTGTATCCATGTATATTTCACCAGCCACCAATCTGTATATTCCAGAAGCTGTTACCATTTTAGCCACAGAAACATTGTCAGTTTCTAAACCAGGCACGTATGTTCTGCCTGCCAACAGCTTTATTTTTCAAAAAGGACATGTCCTTTTTGAGAAATAAGTTGACACTTATTTTACTATAAATCCTGCCTATATAAGCAATACCCAAGTAAAATTACAAATGTCTAAAGCAGAAAGTGACAGCCCGCTGCACACGCTGTGGGGATTTAAAAAGCTGAGGTCGGTGCTCTGCCGAACACATGTGTGTGTCTACAAATGCAGTGTGGGACAAAGTAGGTCACAGCTGCGAGTACGTGAAACACAGAGTTTATTCTTGTATTATTTTTTCTTAATCACTGTATTATTTTCCGCATGAAGAACTGTAAGCCTGCTTTTGCTCCACCCTGTATATATACATAGATTCATTCTGCCTAACACTCCAGTGTTTCTAAAATGTGTTAAACACTTCCTTAAAATTTACTCTGTTTCCATGAAGGTGTAATTAACTGAGTGAGTTTAGTAGGTCTGGTATCCTACATACATCAAAAGACAGTTTTTCATTGAGTAGTTTTAACTGTCATTCCTATGCGAAGCAAGAAAATCAATAAAGTGTATTTAAATCTGAACTTCAAACTTTATATAATTAGTACTTTTCATTCTGCTAAGATTAGTCTCAGCGAAAGTCATTCACTTTCACCTTCATCTTTGCCAACATCCAAAGAAGCATATGAGGAAATACACACTCTTAAAAACTAATTCCAGCTCCTGGTAGTCCCTGAAGCGAATTCACCATAAACCTATCTCAGAAACATTGTTCAGTTCTTTAAATTCCTCTCTCAGGGTCTCCTCATTCCCATACAAAGACTCATCTCTAATAAAACAGGATCCTATTTTTGTAACTTCTATAATTAATACCTTCATAATTCCTCTATAATTAATACCATGGCCCTTTTCAATATTTAGCCGAACATCACCCTTCGCAGAACTCCTTCGTGTTGATGTAGTGTGCTTAGCAGAAAGTTTCAAAAGCCGTCATACCATGGTGTCACTTACGTGAAGTTTTGGAAGCAAGAAGAGTAACCTGGGAACCTCCTAAGAAGCGAAAACCCATTACATTCACCTGATCGTCTTCCGACTGATTGGCAAAGCCTACAAAATAAGAAAAGGAAAAAGTCACAAGGCAAAATACTTAACATCTGAAATAGGAAGCTTAGCTGATGAGAAATATTTGTATGTCACTAGTCATGTCTACGGCCCACATATGAGCCACAGTAACGGCTTCCAAGTGCTGAAACTTCTGCCCCGCAACGACCCTCCGCAGTCATCCACTCCCTTTCTCCCACCGGCTCTTTCTCAGTCCCAGGCAGGAAATGTACAAGCTGAACCTAGAATAGCAGCAAGGACACTCTCAGTGACCAGAGGAATGGTATGAAAAGGACGTAAGAGCCAATTTAACAACAAGACCAGTGGCCAGAGATGAAAATATTTAAGTATCACAAAAGGTAGTAACTAATAACTGCAATGGAGTAAACCACATTAAATAGAATTAATCTGAGCTCTTCAACAAACAATTAGAAAGGGAGATGAAGGGGGAAACCTATGGAAAAGAACATATCGAAAACTGCATATCCAAAAAATGCAAAAAGTAAACCCCAGTTGAATCCTGACTCAAAACAAACAAAAAAATTATACTGTTGGAGACTTTCACTTCAAGTCACGATAAAGACTGGAGCCAAAGCCACCCTTCCATCTAAAACAACTAAAAAGAAGAAGCAAAAAATATGAAACATTTTTTAAAAGACACTGGAAATGAAGAAGTGAACCGCAACGATCCCTAACAAACAAGAGGCAATGAAGTGAGCCCTGGACCGCAGCAGCTTGCTGCCTGGAGGAAGCTCTCCAGGCTACAACACTAGGAGGGGAAGCAAGAGCAGCCCAGCACTGTCCCCAAGAACTGGGGACAGAGTTAGGACTCTGGAAAGGCCAGAGCAGCCAGAGTTCAAGGGCAGGGTATCAGAGACAAGAGAGTGGCAGAGGGAGATCTTCAGAGATCTGCGGAGTGCCCCTCAAGTACATATAAAAATACCACCCAGTGCTCGTCTGTAAGGAAACTATGTGAGGCGAGGACAATAACCACCCGAAAAGATTTCAGGGAATATGGACTCCATGATTCCACACGGAGCCAGGAATAATCCCTGTTCGCACTGGATGGAATATAAACCGGCCTAAGTCACTAGGCATCATGAAGAATTCATACGAGAGTCAGGTCTCAGTAGGAGGTGAAGTCTGCCCTAGAATACATGCTGCTCCCATCCGGCCTAACGAAGCTTAAAAGAAACACCTGAAAGGATCAGACGTTTTCAAGGAACTTAAATGTGTCTCAGGAAAAAAGCTCAAGAATATTTAGAGGAAAACTAAAATGTTCAACATACAACTAGATAAAACTCAGAAGTTCTGTTCTTCAGTCTTAGGACATGCAAAGAAGGAAGATATTACGATCCATAACAAGGAGCAAATCAATCGAAACTCACACAGAAATGACACAGACGACAGAATCAGTAGACAAGGGCATTTAAACAGTTATTATATTGTTATCTATGTTCAAAAAAATTAGAAACACAGAAGATATTTTTAAGAAGGAAAAAAAAAGACCCATATCAAACTTTGGGAAATGACAACTACAATGTCTGAGATGAAAAACAGTCAACACACTGAGCGGGATCACAAGCACACCACACACTGCAGAAGAGAACTGCTTGAGTCAAGAACAATAGAAACTACCCAAAATAAAGTGCAAGGAGAAAATATGGCTGAAAAAAACAGAGCATCATTGAACTCTGGGACTCAATGACAGATTTTTAAAATTTTCACTCAAGATACAACATATGTGGTATAGTGTGTATGGGGGTTTTTTCTTGTGTGTTTTTTTTTGAGATCCTGGATTTGTGTTTATACTGAACGTGCTGGAATCCTGTAATTGTTCAAAAGAAGCACTCTTGCCCTGGCTGGTGTGGCTCAGTGGATTGAGTGCAGGCCTGTGAACCAAAAGGTTGCACGTTCGATTCCCTGTCAGGGCACGTGCCTGCGTTGTGGGCCAGGTCCCCAGTTGGGGGCGTGAGAGAGGCAACCAATTGATGTACTCACACACTGATGTTTCTCTCCCTCTTTTTTTTCCCTCCCTTCCCCTGCCTCTAAGAAGTAAATAAATAAAATCTTTTTAAAAAGCACTCTTGATACTTTTCCACTTTTCCTTTTTCATGAGCACTTTTCACTCTTTGTATATATAAGACTTTCATATGTTGAAGTAAAATAAAGTTGGAGCAAACTTTTTGTTTTTTTATTTTCTTTTGGTTATTGATTTCTAAATTTCACATTTCTTTTGTAATAAGGAAAATTAAAGTTATTTTAAATATACTTTTTTTTTACAAATAAAGAACTGAAGTAAACAAACAAAGATGTAGATTAAAAGATTTATTTCTTCTCAATGAAGGTCATTCATTTTGTTTATTTCAGTTAAAAAGCAGATTTTCAATAGCAACTTCGACATCAATATGTAGAAGTCTTAGCCACACAAAAAGCGAAAAGGACGCAGGAGGAGTGAAAAGGCGCCTAGAGAGCTTGCCCGGTGCCTACAGCTCCGGGCCTCTGCCACGCTCCGCAGGACACAAGCCCAGGAGCTCGGGCAAGAGCGCCCTACACTATATATGTTGGAGCTTGAGGGACATTTTTAAAAATCTGTCATTGAGTCCCGTTTCTAAAGTGAGAAAAGAAGCAAATACATGCTGATAAGCCTAAGATACCTGTGATATCAAAACCAGTTAAGCCCCAAATCAGGAGAAAGAGGGATGAGTTATCTAAGCTCTCCCTGGCGTGCAGAAATGACCTGTGTGATCGAAAGCATGCGTTTTCATTCAGTCTCTGTGGGTTTCGTCCATCTGCAGTAGACATCAACCACTCAGAAGCTAGAGTCTTAAACACTTTTCAAAGGCACCAATAAATTCGGTATGCAACATATAATTTCCCACTAAGTTCCCAGGATAATATAGGAGACCCATGGAATTAATACATTTATACGAGATGTTATAAAGGTAATGACTCTGCCTTTTTTTATAATCCAAGTCTGTCATAAGAAAATTGACTGAGAAGGAAAAGGGAAAACCAAAAGGCACAAAACTATTTGCCAAAAACATATATATGTGTGTGTGTATATATATATCCCAATTCAATTCAAACTAAATAGATCAACTGTAATAAAAAGCATTCCACTTTGAAGGCTTTTGGGAGTTATACATAAATAAAGCTTTTTAAACACTTCAAATTAATGGAAAATAAATGTTAAGCACTTTAAGTAGTTAATAACAGAAAAGCTGACTTACCATAAATTGCTAAACCTCGTGGGAAACACTCTTTGTGTGCTAAATCCTCCCCACCAATGCGAGGGCGAGGATGCGTAGCACAGTCAACAGTGACTATTTTTGATGAGGGATTTCACAGGGCTGATTTAATTCCCAGATTTGTTTCTTTAATTCCACCCCATCCCCAAGAAAGTAACTAGATGGGACACATCAGACACCCTGGTTACTGAAGATGTTTTAACCAATCGGCACCTCTCTTTTTTCCAGGCTACTCAGAAAGAAAACACTGACACCTGGAGAAAGTCACGCCTTCACAAATTACCCCAAAGGTTCATGGGGATGTTGGAGCTTTATACACGAAGCCCCTTCCACACGATCAGAGCCCGGGAATGAACATTCGCTGCCTCCAGCTGCTGCCCACAGCAGGGCCAGAGAGAGCGCCTACTTAAGTGATTACTTTTCGGGGGCATAACACTATACTTTGAAAAGGTGCACAGCCAAAAACCTACAATGAAAATGAATAATAAATATTTACATTGTAAGCCAAAAAATTCCACAGTCTAAGAAGAAACATTTGATGTTTTCATTTCTGAATACTGAAGCAAAATAATGATTATACTAATTTTAATCAAACTTAAAAGGTACACCTTATTACCTTGTTGATATAAGCTATTCGCCTTTGAACAGGCCAGGAAAAAATCCTGGAGGCATTTTTATACTCTGACTTAACAATTATCTGATAATTACCCCATCATTACCTGCTGATGAAGGATTCCTTTCTAAATTCTTAACATTTCTGATATTATAGGCATGTTCCTTCAAAAGTCCTACCTGGAAAGAGGCTGAGAAGGCTGACTGGGGATTTGTTGGTATCGACAGTCAGTTTGTGGCTTGCAATTTTTGAAGGCTGACCTGGTAGGCAGACTAATTTCAGGGGAAGCCTAAATTTACGCTGGCTAACTCGAGGAATGCCTGAAATAAAAAGAAAAAAATGCAGAGTCATAGATTTGACAAATAATGTGACCAAAAAAAAAAGTCCGAGTAGCAACATATCTCAGTTTAAAAGCTTGCTGCCAGCCCCTTCTGTCCAGCATAACTGAAATAACAGTACATCATCGTGATTCAATTTTATGTTATTGTCAAAAAGCACAAAGCAACACTGGGGAGATTACTCTGTAAGTTATATAAGTGCTTAACCACTATGCTGTACACCTGAAACTAATATAACATTGGATGTCAACTGTAATTTAAAAATTAAAAATAAAGAGTACTGCAGAATTTTTTAAGTGAAATGCAAAAATAAAATGTTAAAAATAAACACAGGCATAAGGTCTGCTTTTAACAGTAATACCATATTTTAAGTCATCAGTTAAACCTATATGAATAATTACAGCCAATTACTGAGCAATCTTTAAACTAAGACCTTCAAAGTTCTAGATCTAATTTATCAGCTAAAGTGAGCAATGAACATGAAATTTACATCATAAAGACTCTATATGACCATATCTAACAATTTCTCTGCCCCAAAAGTTTTTTAATCTTTACCTTTTTTTACTTATTAAAAATTCAAATTACAATTAACCATTTGCAATAAATTACAAGTATGAAGGCAGAATTTGCTCTACTTAAGTGCTACTGAAGTTCATGACTTTTTCATTAATATTAAGAATATGACTTTCATATGAATTAAATTTTTCTCAATCCACCTAACTTTATGTATCACAGTTAAGTGACACTTTGAAAGGCCTGATTTTTATTATGTATTCAGGCATACTGAAATAGATATCTGACAAATAAAGAATTTTATGTCAGAATTCGAAGTTTTTAAATATTTTTCTTTTTTTAGCTTTTTATTGTTGTTCTATTACAGCTGTCCCAATTTTCCCCCTTTGCCCTCCTCTTCCCAGCCCACCCCCACACTCCCACAGTCAAACCCCACACAGCTGGGCATGTCCATGGGTCGTTCATATTGAATTTTGTTTGGGGGGGGAGGAGGGATAAAGAGGGAGCAAAAAACATCGATGTGAGAGAGAAACATCAACTGGTTGCCTTTTATACATGCCCGATGGGGGACTAAACCTGCAACCCTGGCATGTGACCTGACCAGGAATCAAACCAGCAACCTTTCAGTTTACGGGACGATGCCCAACCAACTGAGCCACATCCTCAGGGACAGAATTAAAACTTTTTAAAAATCAGTTCCTTTCAATACCTTTACAGAGAATGAAACTGAAACTGAAGCGAATTAGGCTCTCTACTTATAAATCTAGAAAAGCAATTCAACAACTTTAGTTTTCTCTCCTTTTACTCTAGGATTTTTTTTTTAATTCCTCACCTAAGGATATGGTTTATTGATTTTAGAGAGAGGAAGAGGGGCAGACACGGGGGGGAGAGAGACAGACAGACAGACAAAAGAGAAACATCGATGTGAGAGAGAAATGATGGTAAGTTTCTCCTGCACATGTCCCAACCAGGGATCAAACCCACAACCTAGGTATGTGCCCTGACTGGGAATTGAACCCACAACCTTTTGATGCATGGAACGATGCTCAAACAAACTCAGCCACACAGCCACAGCTAGAATTCTATTTTTGATTGTGTAACATAAAAGATAATATACAAAACCTGTATCTCAGTATACTGCTGTACTCTACTTGATGGACCCACACATTAATTCCTTTACTTCTTTATAGTGAAGTGAGTGAGCAGCTTAAAAATAGCAAAGTCAGAGTAGTTCAAGTCTGGAGACATGATCCCAAAGTAGGATCCCTAGAATTGGCAATACATTTTGTTAAAGCCAATTGGAGTTGAGTGGCTTACTCTGTGTCCAAGCTGGGGGTATATACTTTTCAGTATTACTTATTCACTGGGATAGTGAGAGATCAGCCGCAATGGAAACACATTGATCTATGAGGTCAATTAGATACTTTTTCAGAACATGTGGAGGATATTTGTCATTCTCTTCAACATAATCTATTATCCATCCAATTTTACATAGCTCATTTTCTGCTCGTAACCAACAGATGTGAAATTTGCTTCCCCTGGAATCCCAGATGCAAATTATAACTGGTGGCTCTTCATAAAAGTCCCAGGGTATGATTTCCTGCAATTCTGTGAGATTTTAACGGCATGTGTATTTGCACTTTACAGTGGTGAAATATTTTGACACTAAACACTGTGGTAGCATGATATGCTACTGTTCAAACCACAACTCTGAATCAAACACCACAAAAAATATTCTGAAGCATTATTTTTTCAACTTTATATATTCCCTACATCCCCAAAATTATGGAAATATACCTACTAATATGTTTACTCTACAATATATAAATTATAACCTCAATTAATGGATGCAGACTGGAACAAACAAAAGAAACTGAACTATATGTGTGTGTATATATATTTAGTATTTTTTTCTTTTTTATTGTTGTTCAAGTATAGTTGTCTCCATGTTTCCCTCATCACTCTCCCCGACCTCCCACCCTCAATCCTACCCCCCTTTGGCTTTGTCCATGGCTCCTTTATACATGTCCTTGACGACTCTTCCCTGTCTTTCTCCCATTATCCCCCTACTCCTTCCCCTCTGGTTACTGTAAGTTTGTTCTTTATTTCAGTGTCTCTGGTTATATTTTGCTTGCTTCTTTATTTATTGATTAGGTTCCACTTATAGGTGAGATCATATGGTATTTGTTTTTCACCACCTGGCTTATGTCACTTAGCATAATGCTCTCTAGTTCCATTCACACTGTTGCAAAGGGTAGGAGCTCCTTCTTTCTTTCTGCTGCATAGTATTCTATTGTGTAAATATACCACAGGTTTTTGGTCCACTCATTTACTGATGGGCACTTAGATTGCTTCCAGCATCTGGCTATTGTAAATTGTGCTGCTATGAACAATGGGGTGCATGGGTTCTTTTGGATTGGTGTTTCAGGGCTCTTAGGGTATAATCCCAGCAGTGGAACTTCAGGGTCAAAAGGCGGTTCCATTTTTAGTTTTTAGGAAATTCCATACTGTTTTCCACAGTGGCTGCACCAGTCTGCATTCCCACCAACAGTGTACTAGGGTTCCCTTCTCTCTACAGTCTCACCAGCATTTGTTTGTTGATTTGTTTATGATGGCCATTCTGACCTGTGTGAAGTGGTATCTCATTGTGGTTTTAATCTGCATCTCTCTGATGATTAGTGATGCTGAACATCCTTTCATATGTCCCTGGGACCTCTGTACGTCTTCCTTGGAGAAGTGTCTATTCAGGTGCTTTGCCCATTTTTCAATTGGGTTGTTTGTCTTCCTGGAGGGAAGCTATGTGACTTCTTTATATATTTTGGAGATCAAACCCTTGTCCAAGGTATCATTGGCAAATATATTTTCCCATATGGCTGGTTCCCTTTTCATTTAGCTGTTTTCTTTAGCTATGCAGAAGCTTTTTATTTTAATGAAGTCCCATTTGTTTATTCTTTCCTCTATGTCCCTTGCTTTAGGGGACATATCAGTGAAAATATTGCTGTGTGGAATATCTGAGATTTTCCTGCCTATGTTCTCCTCTAGGACTTCAATGGTGTTGTGACTTATAGCTAAGTCTTTTATCCACCTTGAGTTTATTTTTGTGTGTGGTGTAAGTTGGTGGTCTAGTTTCTTTTTTTGCATGTAGCTGTCCAGATCTCCCAACACCATTTCATTTCCCTCATTTTTAGTAAACAGAATAACAGGAAAAACTCCTTCATCTTCTGGTAATTTCACATGAGCACAAAAATAAGCTATTTTCTATGTACTTTGAACCAAAAGTCTGAGCTAATTATTCAAACAAAATTTGGGTGTAAATGTTCTTCTAAAACTATGTGGCTAAAACTGTGGCTCTATTTCACTTGGACCAGGCACTGAATGAACTTGTGGTAAAAAATAATAATACTAATTAATCATAATCAACACTTGCTTTATGTTAGTGAGTCTATATTTAAAGATTGTTATCAAATCTCTAAGAACCCAGAGCTAAAGAAATTGGTGGTGTATACATGTTCTCAGAAATTGAAACAAACAGATTACAAGCACTAACTAACCAAACAAGGGAAACATATTGTAACTCAATTCACAGCTCCATTAGGTCACTTAATGACAATATCACACATTTGGGCAATGGTCTGCAATTGCTCAGATTCATAGGACCCCTCCAGAATTTCTTTTTTCTCTAGGAATTGTAAGCCTATTTCATGGGACATTTGGAAAACATTATTTTGAAAAATGATGACACTCATACTTAATAAAATGATTATGGCTATTTTTTAAATCATGGCAGCTTGAAAAGTTTTACCATGAGGAGGGAAAATATGAAATCCTTTAGAAACCAGTTTAAAGAAACTGTACTTTTAGAAAGAAAAATCACAATGCCAGTGTTTATATTACTTCCCAGCAAATTAAAACCCAACCATTTCAAAATACAGCCTCTAGTATTTAGTCCTGGGCTTTATCAGAGAGGCACATTTCTACTGAGATTTACATTTTCTTGAGAATCTTGAAGTGTAAATTTGGCTATCGATTACTCTTCAGGCTATGATGGTATCTAAGACCCTAAGCCAGGGACACTTGGAGATGTGTGTGAGGGTGTGCATGTGTGTATCTGTATAAGGAAGGAAGGAATTGCATGTATTTAAAGACTTTCCAACTAGCTTTCAACTGAGCTGAAAGCAACTTCATTGGTCCTAACTTTGCCGGCCATCAGCGATATTTTCTCTACATAGTTGGAAAATGGGCTTATTCAACTCTGAATGTTACGCTGAGAGAAAAGAAAATTTCGATCATTTTATAATACCCAAATATTGGTCTACTCATTCATCAGCCTGACTGGGCTGCAATTTTTACCAAATACCATCACCTCTCCCTCAAACACTTCCCTCTGCAGCCTGTTAGCGGAAATGGATAGTCCCATTTACAACACTGCCATTAATCACAAAATTATTTAACACTTAGAGGGAAAATTCACATCAAAATCACTCCTGACACAACGCTTTTTCCAGGAAGGGAATTCTAATTACACCTGGCACATCCAAGAGCCCAGTGTCACTGTCAAGAGGGAAGCCGAAATGTGCTTTAAATGAGACAGGAAAAGAACACAGGTCTCGGGGCAGAGTAACTATGTGCATGCAGTACGCCTCTCTGTCATGCCTGTCGAGCTCCTTCCAGGGCCTGCTAGAGTCATCTGGTACTGCAAACACGGGCCCCGGGGCAGGACCGGTGTCTGGGAGCCAGAACTTCCTTGATCCCTTCCTGTTATGTCTGGCTCCGTACCGTGCTCTACCTGCACTCGTGTTCCACACTGCCCATGTCATGCGGCTGTAATGCAGGAATAATGGAGACCAACTCCTATGGGACAGCAGAAAACCTCGTCGGCTTCTTCCTTTCCGCATGTAAAAGCAAGAGCGCTTACCCACAATGCAGCCTGAACAGGTCAGGACAATAAAATGGACCTGGCTTTGAAATCTGAAGCCTGGTGTGCACAGTGAGAGCTGTGTGGCAACATACGATTTCCTTGCCTACTAGATGAAGCTGAGTACTTCAACTCTACTCCCTAAAGCGTAATTATAATTTTAAAATATGTCATAAGAGAGTATTAAAACCAGCTTTAGCTCTATATTAAAATATATTGTGATTTTTTCCCCTAATTTTTGGGACTGAATTTACAGTAAGAGGGAATAAATTACTTTCAATAATAACCTTTACTTATTTTTTTAAACTTAAAACAAATCATTTAAATACTAACATGGTATTTTACAAAAATTAGTGCAAATCTTATCAGTTACATGCAATCTTGCAAAGTAAAATAAATATTCATTAATAATAGGTTTTTTAATAACCCAAATTCTAATTTGACAAGTTTACTTTAGGTTATTAAGCTAATCACGTACTTCTATTAAAATATTTCTAAGTACATTTTCACCTCCCAAATACTATGTAACAGGTTGCAGGCATCACAAAAACTGTATGAGTAAATACTGCCATTATTAAATATTTTATATAGTTATTACCAATTAACATTGTTATGTAATATTTATCTTAAAATAGCCAACACTAAGGTAAACCATCAAATAAAGTCTGTGCATAGGAGGAAAATAATCAAATTAGATTATTCCTTTATAGCTCCTGTCATTTGCCCTAATATTTTGTCATTCAAACATGAGTGGTTGAACCCTGCTCTCAAAGAACTCAAAACCTACTAGAGGAACCTAAGGAACAGACTTAGTGACATTCATATTATGATAAGGATTATAGTAGAGTGATAAACAAAGGTTTGGGGGCATACAGAATGGGTAACAATTAACACTGACCCAGCAAGTTCAAGGGGTCAGACCTTGAATGACATTCCCCCATAAATCCTGAACGGAACAAGGCACAGGCCCACAGAATGAGTGTGTGGGGCATTCCAATCAGAGACAGAGGTGGCTCCGTTGGCGCACACAGAAAGCAGACAGTTTAGCATTCAGGGGCAAACATCTTTTGTTCCTTTCTATTTCTTTATTTTAGTAAAATAAGATAACAGAACATAGGTAAACCACCAATGACTCACCGAAATAACTTGTCAATGACACATGGATTTGTTTTTTTTAAAGAGTCATGGAGTTCCACTCTTTCTCATGATTCTGAAACAAGTAATCTGAATGACAAGACTCTACGAAAGAAAACGTCTAGTATACCCTCTGCCGCTGGATCGGGGAACTGAATCATCCCTCAAGAGGTCTCCACAGTGAAAATAGCAGTCCATAAAATGAGTTCATTCATGGCTTAATACCCATTCAATGCACTGACCACAATGCAGTTCAGAAATTCGTTTTGTTATAAATTATCTTCTTACCTTCAGGATTTCGATCTGTCCACCAGAAGCAATGCAAAAAGGGTGAGGGGAGAAAAAATGAAACAAATGGTCAGTGATAAAATTACAACATAAATTTAATACATATCTGCTAAAAGTATATAAATTAAAAATTTCAGGAGTCTCACTGATGATTTAAATGGCTCTCCAATAAAATTAGTTAAATCAATCCACAATTGAAGAATAAAACATGAATAAATGAAACCTAATAATATATCTGCACTTCCATTCTCAAAGTCCATGAGGGTGTATGATTCCAGCATAAATATGGCAAAAAAAGGTAAAGATATGATCTAGCCAAACAGCAAACCAAACTCAATAAGTAAATGGCATCAAGAGCATAAAATGAACTGTTGGGGGGAAAAAAGTTGAGTGAAAGGCCAAATACATCATAATATTAATATTTCCAATTAGTCTCTTATATTATAATTCCAATCAGTAGATACTACTATGGGATAATGTCTCTTCTTCTCTTGGCAGTCTTTACTCTTATAGACTTCTTTTACTTTAATTTCTAACTAACTTTCAGCCAATTAATGCTATGCTCTGCAGTTGAGCAGTAATTTGTAATCTTTTAAAATCTGGCTATAGAAAAGCGTAACAGCCAAAAGTGCTGTGTGCAACAATGAGCTCACAGACTTACATTACAACTTTCTAATGTACTTTTCAGCATTTTATCCATTTGCTATGTGACCCATTTCTCTATCTTAAATTTATTTTCAAACAGTGTCATTACTTTTCCTTGAAGACAAATAAAACAACTCATTGTATTAAGGCATCAAAAGTCTCTACAACTGCATATTCAAAGTGTAACTAGGTAAAAAAGTATAACAATGCCTATGATTATTGGGATGCTTGATTAATGATCAATAATCTAGAGATTTTAATCAACTGTATCTCACTTTTTAGTTCACAATTCATAACCACATTGAAATGTCAACATTCTTTTCAGAAATATCTCACTAAAAGCCCATCAGTCCTTCATCCTTTAAAGTTTTCTATTTCCTTCTGAAGGCAGCTTTCTCAAAACCCCTTAAATATAAAGTATTTATATAACCCCAAATTTTGAAAATAAGGTAAATAATTAAAGTGGTCACTTCTGGCTAAAAATTAATTTCTCAACAATTTAAAGCAAAATAACTTACAAAGCAGAAGAAACAGATTTTCAAAACATGTACTAAAGTTATAAAATCATCTCAGAGCACAGAACTGTCCATGTATAAGCCCAAAAATTCAGGTAGACAAAATAAAAACTACAGTTATTGAAAACAGTGGCAAAGGATTTAGACTTCCAGTCAAGATGGAGGCATAGGTAAACACAGCTCGACTCCTCACACAACCATAGCAAAAATGACAACTAGACTACAAAACCACTATCACTCAGAATCATCAGAAAATCGAGCTGTATGGAAGTCTGACAACCAAGGAATTAAAGATGTCACATTCATCCAGACTGGTAAGAGGGGCACAGATGTGGAGGCATATGGAGATTCGGAGAGCAATAAAATATATTTTTAAAAAACATTGCTCCCTGGCCTGTGTGGCTCAGTGGATTCAGTGCCGGCCTGCGACCCAAAGGGTCACTGGTCCAATTCCTAGTCAGGGCACGTGCCTGGGTTGCGGGTCAGGTCCCCAGTGGGGGATGCACGAGAGGCAACCACACACTGAGGTTTCTCTGTCTCTCTTTCTCCCTCCCTTCCCCTCTCTCTAAAAATAAATAAATAAAATCTTTAAAAAAAACATTGCTAAAATAAGCAAAGTGGGCATCAATAGAGGAAAAAAACAGAAAATTATATAGAAATGTTTTTTAAAAAGGAACATTGCTGAAATACCTTATCAGTTACACTACATTTAAACATTTTTTTTAAAAGCACTGACAAATTATTCTTCTTCTACCAATCAACATACTGTCAAAGTATTACCACAAAAAATTCACTATACATGAAAAATATATAAAAAATTGACCCAATTAAGTTCAAACTGGTAATAATTGAATCTCAACTGGACTAAAGATAACCTCCCCCCTCCCCCCGTTTTTTCCAGCTTATTGAGATATTATTGACATACAGGTCAGTTTAAAGTACAGCCCCTGGTGATTTGACACAGGCATATACTGCAAAAAGATCACCACAACCAGGGTGGTTAACGTCTCCGTCTCCTCACTAAGTACCACTTCAGGCGGTACTTATGATACCACCTGAGACCGGCTCTCTCAGCATCGTTACTCACAGTCGCCGCACTATACCAGGCCCCGGGCGCTCACGCACCCTAGACCTGAAGCGGGCAGGTGCCCTCTGACCAGCACCTTCCCGTTTCACACACCTCCCGGACCCTCGGCAATGATGATTTTATTAAGGATAACCTTTTTAATCTAAAGAGGGTTTTTTGAAAAAATACAGATCACCGTTTAGTAGATCTGTTCTTAAATACATTAACGCGTAAGACACTAAAGAGTATTAGTCACTCAAACTGAATACTTCCCCAATGTTGGAGGAGACCACAATAGTTTCTTTCACTTACTCAGATCAGGCTTTTCTCTTTAGCTCAAACAGATGAAGTCTGACTAGATATCATCCTTCTAGTGAGACTAAAAATAATTGAAAAGATAGAGTCGAGCAACATGGACAGACATCAGCTAAATACTTACCACTAATTATGTGTAACATGAAGTTAATTTGGACATACAATTTATTTAACACTAAAAAATCATATTTTTTCATTTAATAATATTTTACGATGTGTTTTCCCATTTTAACACTTAAACATGTAACTCATCATTCCAACAAGTGCAAAGGAGCGATGGATTCATCTTGCAAATTCCGGAACAGCTGTACGCTTACCTGTTGGTCTGGAATAGGAAACAACAGCATTTCCTTCCAGTTCGGGCGGCACAAAACTTCCTTTCAGATAAACGGAAAAGGCTACTGTTCTGGTCGTCTCTGGTGCTATAAGCAACGTGAAAGTAACATAAGGTATACCATTTTGGGCAGTGATTATTGGGAACAGTTAAAATTAGGCACATTCTGCACGCCATCTACAGTCCTAAGCACTTTACATGGATGAATTCACTTCGCCCTCACAGCAACCCTATGAGGTAGGCGGTACTGCTGGCTCCATTTCTTTCTCTCTGTTCTTCCCCCAGGAGAAATCCGGTCACAGAGAGATGAAGAGGCTGCCCCTGGTCACACAGCGAACACGCAGCTAGGACCCGGCTCCAGGACAAGGTGCCTGACACCCCACCCCAGTGCCTCCCGTTCCTCAGAGGAAGAGGCAGCGTGAGCAGCGACAGGTACGTGAAAGGGCGAGAGACTCTCGGAGCGGGGGGCAGTGCTGTGTCGGGGGAGCACACAGACTGCAGGGGAAAGCGAGGTGGGGCTGAACACGGACGTAACCACGACTGCAGAGACTCGGCCGAGTGTGCGCAGCCTTTACAGGCAGGCAAGTGTTTGACCTCCAGCCTACGTTCGAGAGCCAGAGGAGGTCTCTCATTGGAAAGATTGGAATGTGTTTTAAAAAGATCCATTGGAAGTACTGTGAAAAATTAGAAAATAAAGTGAGAACCCAATGGTTGGATATCACCTCCAAGGTCACTTCCAGTCATCCAACCATCCCTTCACTCGGCCAGTGAGCATTTATCGAGCGCCCACTACCAGCCAGGCACCTAGCTGAGGGTTGGTTATACAAAGGCAAAGGAGAGAGATGTTCCTGATTCACGAGTAGGATATAGGATCCCCTGCTGAACAGTGGCAGTAAAGAAAAAGGCTTAAAAATATTTTAGAAATCACTTCAACAGGACCAATGACAACTCAGATATAAGTGGTAAAGGATAAGAGATTCTAAGCAAAGAGTAAGAACTGCCATTAACAACATGTCTACTATTTTAGGCATTACTGCAGATATATTACATAGATTCATTTTTAATTGAATCCTCGAAGCAGCCATTGCTTGTCTTACAAGAAAGACACCATTATCCCCTTTCTGCAGGTTTAAAAAAGCTGAGGCTCCAAGTCATCGCGAAGGGAGCCTGCCCAAGGTCACACACAGAGTGAGAGTCAGGGCCAGGATTCAAATTCAGGCCAGACTCCAAAGTCAATATTCTTTCTTCAAACATTACTGATTCAATAAAGAGCTCACTAGAGAAACACCAGTAAAGAGAGCCTTCCCAATTACAGTGTTTAAGTACAATTACAGGCCCATCTAGTTAAGGAAAGCACTTGGAAATCTGTAATTACTTCAGACTCAACCATTCATTGAATGACCATGCTTGAGGTTCAGAGGGAAAATTCTATGAGCAAAACAACACAAGCATTAATTTCAGGAAGATACCAGTCTCATGATTCAGACAAGAAATATATCCATGAAATAAATACACTAATAAAAAAAATTTTTAATTCAAAAAGCCCTCACACCTTGATAGACTTTAGGCCAAAACAAAACACTTACCCATCAACTCAAAAGCAAACCGGTCACATGACGGGACTAGAGGTGGCTGCACATAGACTGATAACTTGGCTTTCTGCAATGCCACACGGGTCTGCAGTGCAACCTAGGGAGGCAGGCATTGATATCAATTGAAAATTATATTCTATCCAAATTAATAAATATCTCAACTACCTAAGAAAATCACTAGCAAATAATTAGCAAACATCATCTGAAAAAAAATTAGTAGTAGTCACAAATCATAACACGTAACGTAGGTAGCAGATTAAATGTCCCACCCAGTTAGAGACTGGGCAAAGGGCTTGAACAGACTTCCCCCCAATGAAGATACAGGAAAGGCCAAAAAGCACAGGAAAACATGTTTCATGTTTTTAATCGCTATGAAAAACAAATTAAAGCCACAATGAGATACACTACACAGCCACTGAAATGTCATCATCAAAAGGATAGACAAAAACAGGTGCCAGAAAGAACATAAAGAAACTAACACTCTTAAATACTGCTGATAGGAATGTGAAATAGTGCAGTCTTACAAAAAAGTGTGACACTTTCTTTGAAAATTAAACAGCAACTTACCATACAATCTCGCAATTCCATGCCAAGAGAAATGAAAACATATGTTCACCCAAGAACTTGTACACACAAGAAATGTTAAAACTGGCATTATTCATAAGAGCCAAAATTAGAAAAAACCCAAACGTCCACCGACTAGCTGATGAACGGGTAGGTAAAATGCAGTACGTCCACACAATGAAGCACTATTCGTCAACGAAAAGAAACGAAGTGCAGACACCTGTTACAACACGGGCAAACCTTCAAAGCAGCAGCTAAGTAAAAGAAGCCAGTCACAGAGAAATACATGTTGTATGATTCCATTTATACCAAATGTCCACAATAGGCAAATCTATGCAAACAGAAAATAGACTTTCAGTTGCTGATGAATGGAGTAGGGGGTTTGAGGGGGCAAATGCAAGAGAGGAAGGAAAAAGGAAGTAAAAGCTAATGGATATGGGCCTGTTTTTAGGGGGGATGACAATGTTCTAAAATTAAATTGTGGTGATGGTCCGCAACTCTGCAAATATGCTAAAAAACATTGAATTATACACTCTAAATGAGTAATTGTAAGGTATGTGAATTATATCTCAATGAAACTATTAAAATGTTCTAACCTTATCCTTATATAACTTTGTAAATTATATGAATGTCTAATACTAGGTTGTATACCTGAAACTAGTATAATATTGTATGTCAACATAATTGAGAAATTGGTTTTTTAATTTCAAATTTTTTTTAAAGATTTATTTTATTTTATTTTTAGAGAGGGAAGGGAGGGGGAGAGAGAGAGAGAGAGAAACATCAATGTGCGGTTGCTGGAGGCCATGGCCTGCAACCCAGGCATGTGCCCTGGCTGGGAATCGAACCTGCGATACTTTGGTTCGCAGCCCATGCTCAATCCACTGAGCTCAATCACGCCAGCCAGGGCTAATTTAAAATTTTTTAAATTTTAACTTAAAAATGTTCTATCAAAAGCAAAAAAAGAAAAATCTGCCGTCAGTGGCTGATAAAATAATTACATCATGAAATGTGACGTGTTCATTCTGTTTTTCATACACAGATGTGGCATCACGAATTATTTATCTTATCCAGTATCAGTATGTTACCTTTTACACAGGTAAATTATACTTAAAGATTTCCTTACTAGGTGGACATTTACTAGCTTAGATACATATCAAAGCACTCTATTTTCCTCCATGGCTTACCACAAAATATCTGACATAACTAATTCTAGAAAAATATCAAAGAATGGCAATATTCACTGTCGCATACCTAAGCTGGCTGGATTTCTAAGCCGCTGCTCTTGGTTGATGCTAACAAAACCTTTCCACTGCGATTAGGGTCAACAGGTGAGAACTGTGGGGTAGCAGTTTAGCTGGGAAGTGGGCCGGCGATAGGTAGACAAGACCAGGACTTCCCTCACTGCCCCTGTGAGGGCGCCAGCAGAAACAAACCATCAGGCCCAATGATCTTGACTGGGCCAGTGGTAAGGGCCATCACTTTCAGGCTATCAAAGAAAAAGCTTAACATTCTAGCTTCCACTAGGCATGCTATCTCTCGCGGTTTTGTCTCCTAAAAGTCCCAGCTTCTTTGAAAAGTCTCCTTTGGATGAGTTCACACAGCTGGTATGGTAAGCCAGACTTACCACAGTAAACCTGGATATTGATCATTTTTTTACAGATCTTCATGTGATATCTGTGTATAATCAGAGTTAAGAAGCACTCTCTGCCTAGCACCTTTGCTACAGAACAGTACAGTCTAGTTACTAGACACTCATATATGAAACAGGTACATATCACTATTAACTGACATAATGCAAGTATTTTTAATAAAAGTATTTTTAAATTTTCTCTTAACTAAAACACGTGCATCACCTATTCCTTAATTATATGTGATCTGTCTGGAAAAAGTCTAGCCATTGTTAATATAATGAGAACAGTTTCCACAACACTGATGTAACCTGGCAGCCAAAGAGAGTGGACTGGAATATGCAAGCGTGAACAATGACGACTTCACTGTACTAGTCAGTGGGGGTGGTAGACGCCATTCAGTGAGCATGTGTACTGTGTGGCTGTCACATTCAAAATAACAGCTAGTACAGCAAAAATCTGCATCACATTTTTCATTAAGCTTGAGCATTCCTCTGCAGAAACTATTTGGATGATTCAGAAGTCCATAGCTATGGGCAACTGGTGATTGGCAGCTTCATCACGACAATGCACCCACTCATCCATCAAATCTCGTGCAGAAATTTTTGGCAAAATATCAAATCACCCAGGTGACTCAGCCCCCCAACAACCCAGATTTGATGTCCTGAGACTTCTGGCTTTTCCTAAAACTAAAAGCATCTTTGAAACAGAAGAGATTTTGGACCATCGATGAGATTCAGGAAAATACAACAGGGCATCTGATGGTGATTCCAGCAAAGGATTTTGCAGAGTGTATTGAACAGCAGAAGAAACGCTGGGAAAACTGAGTGAAGTCCCAAGGTGCCTACTTTGAAGGAGACTGAGGCATCCTTGTCCTATGTACAAGGTTTTTGGATCTTGGATCTTCTTCAATGAACGTCTCTATTTTTCATTTTACATGGCTGGATACCTTCTGGACAGACCACATATATATGTATATATGCATACAATAGAGAAAGAAACAATACATAGCAATATACAACTGGCCTACAAACACTATACACATGTAATTATATTCAGTAAATGTCTTATATTAATTTTAAATAATATGGGTATTCTGTATAACTTAAAAGTAAGTTAAACATAATTTTGATTTGCAAAGCAAAACTTTTTAAAGACCACTCACTATTGGGTACAAACAAATACAATAAACACAGCAGATGAACAATCAATCCTCAATTTTTACTTTACTGACCCTGAAACTATGTGAGGGGAATTTGCATCCGCAAAAGCTTCCTAAATGATGTCTGTTATAAAACCCTGATGGTAACTATGAGAAGAAACCGTAATATGCACCACAGACAACATTCTTTCAAATACCTAGTCCACTGAAAATATAGACACAATTTAAATATTTTTCTATTAATAATAATATAATGCTAGTCTATACATACATTTTAAAAATGAAATTATTCATACTAATGATAACCATTAGCAGCTTTCTATACTCATAGAACCATGATAATAAATTATTTATGTGCATTATCTCACTTAATACCTACAACATGGTGAAACGCCTACTACTACTATACACCATTTTATAAAAAAGAAAACTATGGCTTAGAGAGGCTAAATAATTTGCTCAGGGCTATTCTGTTTACAAGTGGTGGAACCACAGGTGAACTTCTGTCTGCCAAAACTCAGAACCCATGTTCCCAATCAACTGTGGTTAAGTCTCAAAACAACTCTGTAAGTGAAAAAGTATCCCCATTTTACAGTTTAAAAACAGAAGTTCAGGACCTCTGGTCAGATGGCAGCACAGGTGAACACAACTCGCCTCCTTGGACAACCACATCAAAATTACAACTAAATTACAGAACAGCCATCACTCAGAACCAGCAGAAATTGAGTTGAATGGAAGTCTGAGAACTACAGAATTAAAGAAACCACATCCATCCAGACTGGCAGGTGGGGAAAAGATGCAGAATGGGCTGATCCTACATCCATATGAGGTGGATGAAAATTTGGGAGCGCTATCTCGGGAGCGAGAAGCCCCAGTCCCACACCAGGCCCTCAAGCCCAGGGTACCAATGCAAGGAAGATAAGTCTCCATAACTTCTGGCTGCAAAAACCAGCAGGGACTAAGTTGGTGGAAGAAAATTCTGGAGTCCCAAGGAGTTCTTCTTAAAGAACCCACACACACACTTACTCAGACTCACTCCCTCTGAGCTCCAGCACCAGGGTAGCAGCTTGAAAGGCATTAGTGGCGTACTGGGAGAAATTGAAGTGTCTGGCATCGAGGCAAGTGTTAGGGGACAGCTTTCTCATAGACAGAAAGGTAGGCAGAGGCCATTGTCCCTTTTCTGAACCCTTTCCACACAGAGCCACAAAGCTGGCAGTTGGGTGCCATATCTGAGACTCCATCAAACTGGCTAACACTGTTGGCCCCACCCTGAAGATCCCCTGAAGCTCTGTCCCACCCAACTTATAGCAGTTAACAGTGACTTTTCCATGTGAATGGCTGGTCTTGGCTCATGCTTCACTACTTTCTAAATCCTTTCAAACAAGCAACAGCCAGCTTCAGTGAGCCCTCTGCCCCATATATCTTGCTAAGTGGCCCCAGGCCCAGCACTAACAGCAGCAAGTCTAGATGCACAGTTTGGCTTTGCCCGGGATCTCCAACCCAGCACAAATAGCAGTCATCTCAGATTGCTTTATAGCTTAGGCAGGGTGGCCTTGGGGAAAAACACAAGTCGGGGATGACCTTGGCCTGCATTGTCAGGGAAACTCCAGGGCCTGCACACACATTGGACAGCTACAGATTATGTCACAGCACCACCACCCTGCCCCTGCACAGCTAATCCTCCATGGAGAGCAGAGGTTGGTGGTAAGTGGTCACAGCCAGTACTTGAAGCTGACTGGCCTGACTAAATCCCTCCCATTGATCCACCAATAGCAACCAAGGCTCAACTACAGGAGTTGGGTATACTCACTCCCACAAAGGGTGCATCACGAATACCTAGCGTGGGTGATAGTAGAAGCTGTGCCACTGGACCCTACAGGGCACCTACTACATTAGGCCATTCTACCAAAACATGGTGTCATAGCAGCTCTACCTAATACACAGAAACAAACACAGGGAGGCTGTCAAAATGAAGAGACCAAGAAACATGTCCCAAATGAAAGAACAGATCAAAGCTCCAGAAAAATACCTAAACAAAATGGAGATAAGCATCTATCAGATGCAGAGTTCAAAACACTGGTTATAAGGATTCTCAAGGAACTTAGTAAAGACCTCAACAGCATAAAAAAATACAGTCAGAAACAAAGAATACACTAATTGAAATAAAGAACAATTTACAGGGAAACAACAGTAGAGTGGGTGAAGCTAAGAATCATATTAATGATTTGGAACATAAGGAAGCAAAAACAACCAATCAGAACAACAAGAAGTAAAAACAATAAAAAAAAAATGAGGATAGTATAAGCAACCTCTGGGACAACTTCAAGTAGTCCAACATTCACATCACAGGGATTCCCGAACAAGAAGAGAAAAAGCAAGAAATTGGAAATCTACTTGAAAAAATAGTGAAAGAAAAGTTCCCTAATTTAATGAAGGAAATAGACACTGAAGTCCAGGAAGCACAGGGAGTCCCAAACAAGATGGACTCAAAGAGGTCCACTCCAAGACACATCCTAACTAAAATACCAAAGGTTAAAGAGAAAGAGATAATCTTTAAAGCAGCAAGAGAAAAGCAGGTAGTTACCTACAAAGGAGTTCCCATAAGACTATCAACTGATTCCTCAAAAGAAACTTTGTAGGCATGAAGTGATTGGCAAGAAATAGTCAAAGTCATGAAAAGCAGGGACCTACAGCCAGGACTGCTCTACCCAGCAAAGTTGTCATTAAGAATCAAAGCAGACAAAAAGTTTCCCAGACAAAAAAAACTAAAGTAGTTCATTACCAAACCATTATTATATAAACTGTCAAAGGGACTTACTTAAGAAAAAGTAGATCAAAACTATGATCAATAAAATGGCAATAAATACATATCAACAATTGAACCTAAAAAACAAATGAAGCAAACAAGAAGAACAGAGACAGAATCATGGATATGGGGAGCATTTTGATGGTTGCCAGAGAGGGATGTGGGGAAACAGGTGAAGAGGTGAGGGGACTAAGAAGTACAAACAGGTAGCTACAGAATGGCATGGGGATGTGAAGTGCAGTAGAGAAAGTGGAGTGGTCAAAGAGCCTGTCCACATGACCCGTGGACACGAACGATGGTGGGGGGAGTGCCTGAATGAGTGGGTGGTGCTGGGTGGAGGGGAGCAAAGGCAGAAAAATTGGGACAACTGCAATACCATAATCAATAAAATATAACTTAAAAAATAAAAATGAGAGTAAATAAATAATAAAATAAAAACAGAAGTTCAAAGAAAATAAATAAATGACCGAGACCTTCGAGTCAATATGCACAAGAGAGCTGAAAACTTAGTTTCAGGAACAAAAATGAAAAGTCCAATTGAAGAGTGACAGGCCACCTGTAAGGGAGCAGACACCTGACTCGGCCTAGCCTGACAATGTGTGCTTCCACAAGATCGCACATTTTCCCTTGTCACACAAGTGTCTGCATCTGGCTGAGATGTGCACTTACAACAGCTCTCATACACATACACGGATTTACTGGACCCTAACAATGGGCTAGGCACTTTCGAAAGTGAATCAAGAAGATGTGTGAGGAAAATAACTACAGTAACAAAGAAGAGTTGTGTTTGAGCCAAAAAAGGAGTTAAAGACTTGGCTAGATCACAAACCTCGTATTTTAAGAGAAAAAATAATTATAAAATATTGAGGGAAAAATATAAAACATTAATAAAAGAATTTTCCATGCTATTTTCCGCTTCTGACAAAATGAAACATGATCTTTAGGGAATATAATACCAAATTTTATCCTAGATATAAAACTGCGACTCCAAAGGCCAGGTACGAACAACCACTCTCACATCACGCGCACATACTCAAGGCAGCCACGTCTTCGCCCATTGGAACGGATGGAAACATTTTCTCAATTAACAGGATTTATTATGATGGAAACTTGCATGGTTATATATCTTGGCTGCCGCTGCTCTAAAAGGCTATAAGGAGCGACTTATAGCAGAAATGTGTACAGAAACTGTCAGACAGAATCAGGAAGTCATTGTGTCTGCCGCATCCGTCCAGCTGACTTGGTGCAACCCTTGTGTGTTGCCTTCTTTCTTGAGCTCTTCCAGTGGCAATGAGGAAGGGAGTTAGGAACGACTTAGTCATTCTCAAATATAGTAAACTGCACTAATGAAAGAGAATTCTCCAGTAGTGCCATGCCATCATTTTAAGGCAGCTATTACACATGAAAGACTAAGAACTTCATGGGACAGAAAGGTGTGTTTACTTACAGCAACAAGTAGTAGCTGGGGGCGGGGATTAACGTGAGCAACGCTATCTGGTTTAGCGACAAGACTTTTTCACAATTTATACTGTGTGCCTGAATCACTATGTGTATGTGTCTGAACAATATCAGTAGATAGATATAAAAAAAGGGTCCCCCACACAAAAGTCTATAGATCATTCCTGGAACTGGGCAGGTTTTTTTTTCCTTAAGCGTTTGATTTCTTGCCACTAACGCTTTTCCAGACTCAGAAGTATTAATGAGATAGAGCCTTTGATTGAATAGGGGCGGGAAGACTGGGGAAAGACCACCCTTGTTTCCAGTGGCAAGAAGCCAAAAAAATTAGCTTAGGAAACTGTTAAAAGATTGGGCTCCCTTCAGCGTCGACCACAGATCCCCACACCAGGGCCACCCGCTGGGCCAGGGCAAGCGAACACAATTGGTAAAGCCTGGTGCTCTGTCAAGCTTCTCCAAGGACAGCAACCCATAATCTAAGAAAATGTGAAGCCCGGTCCAAGTTTTAACTAAGTGAATCGCCAAGATCCACAACTTTTCCTGGCTCCGAGGACTGGGCAGTGATAAATATTTTCAGCTTAATAGTGTGCTGACTGATTACCACACTTTAATCTAAATGCCTTAAGAGGGTTCTACATTTGAGTTCTCGTCTAACATTCTACAATGACAGGACCAAAACTTTTAACCAAAACCACATCGTTCATCCTCTGTTTTTTTAGGACTATCAATTTGTCACTACTCTACTTTGTGGCTTCTTCATTTCATATGTTCTTGCTATAAATATACCCCTTAAAAGCTAATATTATGGCAGATAGATGACTGGAAATTCTTTCCCAACCCACATATAATGATACATGGAAGAAAGATATTATTAGCATTCACATAATTCCCCAGTATATACACGATGCTTCCATCAACTGGTTGGTCTGTGGTGATGACACACTTCAGCATACTTTAATGTTCATGTTGTATTTAGAAAAAAAGATCCTGGATCATGTAACACATTTAAATAAGAATAAGTCATAACAATTGTTTGTATTACTTGCACATTGCTATGAATGCAATGATCAGTGTTGTATTTGTAGAAAAACAATGAAGGTTATTGATTCACCCCCCAAGGCTGAGGAAATGGTGGAAATATCAAGTGTGTGTTTGACATTTCCAAAGGTTATTTATAGGGTGACAAATGTGACAAAATGTGTAATACTGTCTGCATGTTACAGTCTAGAACCACGGTACAATACCTTCACCGTGACTGAAGGGACAAGGTCAGTTCCCACCTCAGCGTCAGGAGCTTGCTGCAAACACAGAGAAGAAAGGAAGGAAACAATGAGTGAAAACCCAGGTGCAATCCATACCTCTCACCACGGAAGCCGGGAAAAAACAACTGTAAAGGATTTATCACCCTAGTGACAGACTCAGAGAGTCAGTGTGACTTTTTGAATGTCTTCATCTAGAAAGTCACGAGCTAATAATATTCAGACACCCACCCTCCCGCCCCCCAAAGTCACATATTTTATTATCAAGCTACTCCATTGCCAAATTTACTTAAGTGTTGAAACTAATTAATTCTAGTAACACATCCTTTATATTATATAGAAGGCCACCCTGCATTTCTCAGATAAACATTATGCCATTCTTTTAGGCCATTTTATTTTTAACTCGACAAAGGAATGTTTAATTCCGACTAACAGTATGAACATGTAACTAAGACACATAACTAATAATATAAATATTGAGCACCCTTTCCCCTAGCAAACAGAATAAAGGTAGGAGTGAGACTTTTTTTTCCACTAGCTCATATGATAAACTAGTTACTCTTGGAGCATCGGCCCAGGCTACCTGGCTCTACCTGTCAAAGAATTTAGAGTATAATATCATAGAGCAAACATTTCCTTACAATTTATAACTTATTTTTTAGACTGGTAGATTTAGAGAAAAAGTCTCACTCTGTGGCAGAATCAAACGAAGGGGTAACGTATTTTCTAGTAATACCCAAACGAATACCTGGGGAACCACTCAGGTCCTAAAACCTCTATCCAGCCAGTGAATGGACCCACTGTACTTTAACTTAACCTATTTGAAATGTTTTCACCAGGAAAAATTAAGCCACATCTAAGCAATGGAGACCGCTATGATATAATGGGCACCGGCACAGTCAAGAGCTGGGAGATCCAAATTCTATTTATGACTCGCTACGAAATCACATATGAACTCGAATCCAACTTCGCATGCAGGACGATAGGACCGAATGCTCGCCTCCTCTCTAAAAGACCCCATTCTAATAGAAATTGCACTGTTTTGTAGATGTGTGCTTTCATATTAATGATTCAAAATCAAATGTTAAGCCAGGCTTTCTGCTCTAGTAGTACTTTGAATCCAGGAAATGCTTTACTTTAGCTGTCCAGAGACCTAGAAAAGACACAGACATCTCCTGTTTCCTACTCTTTTCAACCCATCGTCTAAACACCGAGGGACTTCGAGGACAGCAGTCCTTCGGGAAGTAGAAGTGGAGCCAGAGGGAAACGGCTACACAAAGACACGTGGCTATACCAGAGCCACATGAGTCGCTGGTCTCATGTTTTCCAGTGGAATGAAGGCTACACTCTCAAGACTCTCTTAAGAAGGAAAAATGAGCGAGAGGGAAAACGAAGCTGGAAAGAGACACCTAGCTGAAAGGAAATATTACTCCAGATTGACAGCAGGGGAACATACATTACAATATAGCGCCGTTACATAAGCCTTTTCCTACAAAGACCAAAAGTTGCTAGAGAACAGAAAGGCAATTCCTCATTCCAAAAAGCCTATGTTTAAGAGAATCTAAAAAAAAATTAACAAGTGGCCCAGAGGAAAAAAAGGATCATTCCCAAGGCAAGAAAACGTGTGTACGTTTGTCGGCTAACGGAGCAGAAATGTCCCACTCGGACTGCGCCCTTCAGGCGGAGTGAGACGCGGCGTGCGCGGAGCGGGCAGCGTTTCAGACAGTGCCTCTACTCCGTGGCGCGGCTGGTGAATGCTTCTTTCACGCACGGTCCTATTCCTGTAAGTGTACGCAACTGTCCATGCCACGGCCACGTTAACGTGGTTTTTATCACAACTGGGGTTGGCTGTTCATACTAAAACTAACCTTTGAACATTTATGACAACTACTTACTATATTATGCTCTGATACCTAGATATTAAAATCACTTCCTTAGCAAAATTACATGACGTGAACTCCAACTACATAAAAGCAGTGAATTTGATCCCTTGTCTAAATCGATCAGCCTTTGGTAGGAACACAGATAAACACATAGATTTTGCCCAAACGGCAGGCAGTGAGACACAACCAGTCATAATCTAACAAGTGCTTACAAGGAGATGGGGCGATAGAACCAAGGACAACCCCCCTTTCATCCTTCCTGTTTCTCAGCTTCATTCATTCATTCTCGGAGCAAGTATATGTTGAGTACTCGTGTGTGATAAGCACTAAGGTAACGGTGGTGAAGGACACAGGTAGCGAAATGTAGGAGGTGGTGGTGATGGTGCTGATGGTGATGATACTGGTTAATTATCATAACAATTCAACCTAAGAGATTCTACTACCATTCTCATTTTCCAGATGAGAAAACTGAGACTAAGAAAACTAAATACCTCGCCCTGGGACACACGGACAGAAATAGAGGGAAAAATGATCCCCGGCCCAACTGTTTACTCTTCATCTCCTCCCCCTTCACAACCACCATAATGTATGAAAGGCCGCACACTCACAAACCCTGAGCTGGGCCTTTCGTGAACATTACGTCACTAAACCTTCAACAAAAGTCTTGTGGGGTCAGTGTTATTCATCTGGATTAGAACTATCTCAATATTCTGGTACTGAAAAAGTTAAACTTAAAAAAAAATAGATTCAGAATAATGGTGAGAATCTCTTCTACTGGTCCCCCTCTCCTTTTGGGGGGCAGAAATCTGCCTAAGGAACTCCTTACCACACTAAGAGGCTATAAATGTGTATTTCTAGAAAATAACGAAGATTAAAAGTTGTCATCCTCCCTCCCTAAAGTTTCTTTCTGAAGGCACATAATTTAAACCAATACATTTTGGCCCCAATTCACCCAAGTCCACTACAATCACAAACCCTTTTAAAGTCTGCAAATACACCTACAGACACGGAGTCCAAGTTAGGAGAAACCATGACGGAGATTTTCAGGTCATCTTCCCTCTCGGTCATGGGCCAGACACCTGTAATTTGAAAACAGAAAAAGAAAAGACATTTAATCATCAAGTAAAACCTGCTGTATAGTTAAGGGTTATCTATACTGTAAGTCAAAAAATAACCCCATACCCATACAAGTTTAAAAAACTAATACATTACAGAATTAGAAGCTTGATGTTAATTCTGTCCCCTCTACCATACTTCAAAGCAAAGCTGTCTCTTCCCCCAAAGATATTAGCTAAGATGGGACCTACTGACTGATCAGTGTTGGGAATTTTGATGCCTTCTCCTTAACTGCTGGCAGGAGCCCAAATCAGTACAGTCCTTCCGAAGGGAAGCTGGTTTGAAGGGAAGTACGTTGGAAGGCAAGTCATTCTACAGCTGGGGAGCAGAACTGTCAGGTCGCAGGACCTGTATGACTTACACTGTGACAGTCACAGCCAGTTCACAGACATGCCCAGGGAATCCTCTGCTGCTCGTACTTATTGGGAACAAAAACCAAACAACCTGAATCTCTGTATTTCTGTCAACAGGGAAACAGCTAACAAAATTATGGTGTATCTGTGCTGAGCAATGGTCTAAGCTATAAATAAGAGAGCTGTTCATCTTTACATACTGATAAGAAAGACTCCGAGATATGCCTATTAGTGAAAAAGCAAGGCACAGAAGATGCAGCACAATGTGTCTAGTATGTGGTTATATAACCATGAACATCTCCTTCAAGAACGCACAAATGCTCTTGATAAAGGTTCCCTGTCAAAAACCTCACAGAGGAGGACCTGCAGTTTGCCCTATTAGTGCTGTCTGAATTCTCTTCACCACATTCATGTTAGTGTCACAACTTCAAGTTCCACAATTTAAAAAATGTCTATGGTGAATAGGATAGTATGAACAAGTGACAGAGATCCTAAATAAGGAACATAAATGATATTCACACAGTACGAGTGTGTGCATGTGCGGATGAGGTTTGTCCAGGAAGAATCCAGCCACATAAGATGAAAGATAGAGGCATTTATTGCAGAAGATGCAAGAAACATTGTACAGGGGACAATGACACCTCAGTCCCCTTCAGAGCAGGCACCTTGGGACTTCACGTGCTTCTCCCAGCATTATGACCTTGAGGAAGTCTGGTTCATCGGTGGCAGTTTGAATGATGTCATTGGCGACTGCAGCGCGATGTACCTCCCGCTCTGGTAGCAGAAGCCACGGAATGAATTTTGCCACGACACATTTCATGCCAAGATCCTGCATCAAAATCTCAGATGCAGAAGTTTTTAGAATCCCCAGATCAGCTTCTAGTTCTTGCCCTGTCAGATTGCAGCCCGTACATGTTCAACAATCTCGGGTGTTTTGCTTGTTGCAGGCCTTCCAGAACGAACTTCCTGTCACTTTCACTAGATTCTCAACCATCTCTGAAGCATCTGAGCCACACTTTCATTTGCGCTGCACTCATTGCATCATCCCCGAAAGCCTCCTGAATCATCCGAATAGTTTCTGCGGAGGAATGTTACAGCCTGACGCAAAATTTGGTGCAGATCTGTTGCTCTACTTGCTCATTTTGCATGCAACGGCCACACAGGACACGTGCTCACTCAACAGCATCTACCACCCCCACTGAGTAGGTCAGTGAAGTTGCCATTGTTCATGCATGTGCATTCCAGTCCAATCTCCTTGGTTGCCAATTTATACCAATGTCGTGCAAACTGTTCTCCTTATATTAACAGTGACTAGACTTTTTCCGGACAGACGTGTGTGTGTGTGTGTGTGTGTGAGAGAGAGAGAGAGAGAGAGAGAGAGGGACTGTTGGTTGCCCACTCAACACCCACCCTCCCCCCTCCTTCGTTGTGGCCGAGCCCTAATTCTGTCGCCGCATCCACCTTCATCTCACAGTCACTGGACTGGTCAAATTCAATCACGGTGACTTCACTCCCCGGACCATTTGTTGTTTCAGGCACGAGCAGGGGGTTCATCCTGGCAGATGTGAGGGAAGAAAAGCTGGGTGTGGGTGGGGTGCTGGCACTTGCTTCTGGGAGAGCCAAACCTCCTCAATAAAAGCGGGGACTCAAGAGAACTCTGTCTCTTCTCTGGAAATCGAATTTGCACATGATGCCTGGGTCTGCTGAGACCACCCTTGACTCTCAGAGGAACGTGGCCCACACGCTGCAGGTGGCGGGCTGAGAAGGTGGAAAGCACGGGCCGACGCCACGGGAGAAGCAGCCGTCTGATGGAGAGAAGACCTGCCTACCATCGCCATCGGGCGTGCCCGCCAACACTGCAATATTTGGGATAGGAATTTCCAGAACTTCCTTAGTGAGAGTGCAGACGGCTGCTCATCACCCACCCGGCCACCATTCCTCAGTTCTTTTTTACTACAAGAAGCCCAGTTTTATTCTGAGCAACAAAGTGCTCGGCTTAAACCCTAAGTTTCCCAGCCTCTTTTGCAGCCTCGAGCGGCCAGTGAGATGTGAGTAAAGCTGTCCAGGGTGTGGCTTCCAGGGGAGCTCCTCCTGCGGGCTGACGCAGCTGCAGATGCAGGGGCAGGAGTTCCAGAAGCCACCCTGGTCCGACAGATGGCTCCGGGCAGGAAGGAGCCGCAGTCCCCGATGACAGGGGAGCTGCCAGGCCAACCCTGGTCTGCCAGCCGAGGGCCTTCTCTTGCACGGGAAAGTAGCACAAGCCACTTTAGTTGGGTATTCTGTTACATGCAGCCCCACACAACCCTTCCGACAAGGCCTCCAAGTACAAAGGATGGCAGTACTCGGTGGTGGAGGCAGCTGGGTTATCCTGGATGTAGTTCACCTGGGATGCAGACTTCTGACAACAACCCCGCGTCCCGCTGCTCTCTGTCCCTTCCTGAAGGCGCCGCCGCTGGGCGGGAGGCTCAGTATCGTGCTCACTCCCTCAGACTCACCCCAAGGAGGGAACCTGACCGACTGTCTGTGCCACAAGGAAACTCCCCCACCTTTGAAAGTGCCCACTGACAGGCGCTGCTGACTACTGGGAACAGAAACGCTGGGCAGGGTTCACACCAGGGAGGTGAGTACGAAACGCTTCAGAATCCATAAGCCGTTCTGAAATCATTACTGTAATTTCATCCTTACAACATGCATTCCTCATTACACACATAAAATCGGGTTCAAAACACTTTCATTACGGTAGATAATATACACCATGTGTACAACAAAATGTACTATTTAAATGGGCTTTAAATTTTGCTGCAACCCTTACTTTGAAGAAATAAAAAAAAAAAGCTTTAAGTACTGAACATAGCCCACAAGACTGTGAAATTTTTTTGTAATCTTAAGTTGCTATACTAAAATAAGTGGCATTTAAATGAATAATGAGGTCATCAAAAAGTTCAGAGTTTTAACTTCTCATAATTTTCTATACTGAAACAATTTAGTGCTTTCATATAATTACAGGTATTTTAATAAAAAATATACCACAGTTTTATAAGAGTACAGAATACTAATTTTTTTCCATATTCAGAAATAAAGTATTTTTAAAGCCTCTCTTTTTAAAGAAGGTTCTCTTTGTTTCTTTTTCAGGAATAAAACCAAATGATGGTGGAGAAAGGGCAGAGAACTTCAAATATCAACTGAAACCCAAGGTTACGCAAATAATGAACTTTGCACCCAAGTCCGTGGGCACATCCCTAACCTAATTAGCAGTTATTTCAAATTACACAGAGGGTCAAGGCGATGACAAGGAAAACAACCTAACCTTCTCACCCAAGGGCATCGCCATGGTCACAAAAAAATAACCTTTAGCTGCGAGGGATTTTTCTGAGAAACATTTTACACAATTAAGTGTTAATCAAAATATCATTAGCACATTGTTTATGGAAAGAGCAAAATCTCAAGGCAAAATCTGGAGTGAAAAGTCACATTACATTTATTTAATGAACTCTAGAAATTTCCTGTTTCATATACATGCCACTCTTTCCCAATTATATTTTTAAATGACAAAGTGAGACTTATAATTCCAATAATCCCAAAACACTAGTATCAAAAATGGGGGAAAAATGCACATTGCAATGTGTCACATTCAATTTTAACCATTCTCTACTTGACAGGGGCTGCTGACAACAAATTAACTAATTAGAGATACGACTTAAAAGACCTAAGTTTCACTGGTTTGCTTTCAAAACTTTCTAAGAGAAGGTGTGAAGCCAAAGAATAATTACTCTTTAATACTCATATATTTATATATATATTATCTAATACCGTCTGAATCTGTCTTGGTAATATAGACTCAAAAATACATAAATCTCGTAAGATGATTGGACCAGGATTAAGATTGGCTCTGTTGTTTTCATTGGCTTTTGATGCTCTGCTTCTTTTATTATTCCTACTTGTTTTAACATTTCTTTTATGTGAAAATAGTCCATATTTTCTCTCATTAAAAAAATACTTTTTACCTGACCCTGAGAAGGAAACTTAAAGTAATGCTTTTCACATGTCCAACTCAAACTTCAGGACTGGTGTTTTATTTCTCCTTTTAATTTACAATAAAATTATACCCCTGTGAATCCCAACGTCAGATAATACTGAGTTATCCAAAACTCAGGAACCGAAAACATCATCAGTCTCTTGAGTCATTAGAAATCAGCACACCACAGGCTGCCCTCCATTTGGACGGCTAATTAACTACAAGCATAAAGTATATTACTAAGCTATAAATGACCACATTTTTAGTAACAAAGTGGCAACTCATGTACTGCTTTGGTTTCTTTTAAAAAGAGCAACTAACACTTTTTTTCAGGTATATTAGAAGTTAATAAATGGCCACTCTGAACTTTAATAAGAATCAAGGCCTGAAGCCACTACCCAAAGAAGTTCTTGTTGTTTTTTTAGAGTACAAAGAAAAAAACTCGATAGCACTGTCCCTGCAAAAGGGACACTGGCAAAACCAGTATCTTAAACAGGACGTATTTTTCAGAAGCTACAAAATACAAACTGAGCACAAAGACCTTGTGTGCTAAAGAGCTGCACAGTTTTTTCAACTATGACTTTAATTAAGCCTGGAGGAGAAAATTAATTCATACGTACAAAACGTTACCCACATACACAATAATGTGAATTCTACAATGAACAGGAAAATCAAATAATAAAAAGCTTCAAATGAGATACCTTGTGATTTGTTAACATCTCTGATGATTCTCTGAAGTTCTTTCAACTCTGCGTCAAGTGCATCATAGTTCAGTTCTCTAGATTCAACCTTCGGGGCTTGGAACAAAGAGGGGTCTGTCCCCAGGTACGAACACTGCAAGTGGCCATCGTCACTCAGAGTGACGATCACTCCCTTTAAATCACTACAATAAAGCAGAGAAAAGAAGACATCATTAAATTTGTCAGTGGATGTAGACTTGAGCAACTACACTTTTATTCAATTAAGCTTCAATATACCATTAAGAATATGACATATCTATTTCTAAAGTTCCACATCCAACTCTCAACTCAAATGTTTCAAACATGATTTATATTTACAGAAGCATTCCCAATGTTCTGATTTATCAAAGGGGAAAAAAAACACTTTAACAATTATTTTAACAGCTGCCATTTTGGGGACCTAACTACATGGCAAACCATGCTTCAAGAGCTTTTTCTATTATCGTATCTTTGTTTCTTTATTTAATTTTTATTGTATTTTTCCATTACCATTTAGTTCCCTTATGCTCCTTCCCCGCAGCAACCCCCACACTGTTGTCCATGTCCAGGAGTCTTTTTCCCTTCTTGCTCCATCCCTCCATCCTCTCTCCTCCCGGCCCCCCACCACCCACTTAGCTGTCATCTGCTCCCTATCAACGAGTCTCTCTCTGTTTTGCTTGTTAGGTCAGTTTGTTTCTTTAGATTCCACACATGAGTGAGATCATATGGTATCTGTCTTTCCCTGACTGGCTGATTTCAGCTAGTGTAATGTTCTCCAGGTCCATCCATACTGTCACAAAGGGTAAAATTTTCTCCTTTTTCACGGCTGAGTAGTATTCCGTCGTTCAAGTACTGCATCTTTTCCTCCTCTCTCCGGCTCCCACTTGGCAGATTCATGCTGAGCACGCGAACACCACTTGGGGAGCCACAGTGGACCCAGAGCTGGGCTGCTGGCCGGCCGAAGGCCAGGGTGAGGCCCGGGAGCCAAGGCAGGACTGTGAAGGGGAACGGCGAGGAGGGTGGCGGAGTGGACCCCGGGAGGACGTGAAGAGAAACGCACTCCTGCCCTCCTCCTTTTCCTCCTCTCTGCCCGTGGGACTCGTGTCTGCTCTGCTTCCCCAGGGCCACCAACCACCTCCTTCACGCACGCTCCTCCCCCTCCCTTCCCTCTTAGGTGGAAGCACCCCATTTCCCCATGCGGCAGCCCCTTCTCCACCATCTGCGTGTCCCGACGATCCCCCCTCCCCGTCCCTTCACTCCCTCTGCCTTCCCTCAGACTCCTCAGCTCTGCTCTGCTCGGGAATCTCGCCATGACATAGAAATCAAAAATTTAGCCCACGATTTTTAAAAACAGAAGTCGTAAGTTGTGCTGAATTTGCTATTAACAGTACTTGAAATGAACACTATTTGCTTCCTCCATAGTTTTCCCAGAAGAAAAAACACTCCACATTGTCGTAAGTCATTCTGAGCTGATACATAATGAGTTTGTTTGCCTGATGTTTTTACAGTTTCCAGTGACCACGGATTTTGTTTACGAAGAAAAAGGGTTATCAACTCTGTTCTAAAGGTTAAATTTTAATGAAAATCATAAACATAATTTAGAGAAAAAGAATTTTTTTTTAATTCTTGCTATTCATCTGAAGAAAAAGGATACGTTATATAAGGGTCTAGGCCTTATTCAGAATAAATAAGAATTCTTAAAACTCCCCAAAACTGAGTCACTCTCATGCCCCGACTGCACGGAGAGTGGACGCCACACTGTCCCAGCCTTCTCATCAGGTGGCCCAGCACCCCTGTACCGCCTGCCTTCACTGTGACGCCCGTACAGGCTTTCTCCAGAGCTCAGGCGCAACCTGTGCCACCTTGCCCTGTGGGGTAACCTCAGAGAAATAGAACAGAGAGTTACATCACTGACTCGACAGCTAAAGAACTACACTCGGAGTGGGTGAGAGACTTGGCTTCTAACTCTGACTCTGCCACTAGACAGCGAGTCAACTTAGAGAAGCCTTCCTACATATTCTTCATCTCCAAAGTGAGAAGGTAAGACTAGAGGACTCTCAAAGGTCTTTAATTTTTATGAATTGGCTCTGTCGATCTATCTCAGAAAACAAATACTCCCCAAATGAAATTTTGTTCTTGAAATAAAGTGTGAAGAGCAACACCACAGTACCTGGGGGCTTGGCCCTTCCTTTGCGGGCAACGGAAGCCCCCTAGTGGTCATGGAGATGCTAACCTCTAGCCAGGACAAGCCCACTTCACCAGGGCAAACGCTCTGCCCCTCGAAGTGGTCCCTGTAGTGGGTTCCCCATTCCACGCAGCCCCTCACAGGTCTAGGGACCCAATGACATGAATCCTCAGACACTCTGGGACACTAGGGGCAGGTCTTTGGCTGGCTTCTCGGGGAGGTAGGATCATCAGTCCTTTGAACCCAGAAGGGTTTTTCCACTTCATCCTCACCCTCGGAGTGCTCCATAATGCAGGAAACCTTGCATGGCCTAATCCCAGCATCCTTCACTTCGCAAATTTATTGGGTCACTGAGTTGCACAGCTCATTACTGAATCAGTTTTGTCCCACTGTTTTAGATAGCATAGCAACAAGGGATTTATCTAAGAATTTATCTGAACCTGTTAAGTTTCTGAGTTCAGAAAGGAAGAGTTTGAACAGAAATACATACACTCAAAAACACTCTTTACTGGTGCTTGAGGTACCCAAATGGAAAAAAGGAGGAGCCAGAGTCCCCCGCCTTACTGAAAGGACTCACCGAATGTCAAAAGCATAAGAACCACTGCATATAATTTAAATCAAATAACAGAAATGCAGACCAGAGATGAACCCACTTACACTGCACGCTCTGCCCCACAGTAACCCTGCAATGAGCGCCGACAACTCCAGAATGAGTCCTCGGGACTTGTGTCTGAAGGCCCTGTGTGGGGCGGGCACCGAGACTCAGGCCTGCAGCACGGCTTAGTAAGTCACGTTGTCTCTTGGAGTCTTGTGCAAAGGGCAAACTTTAAAATATATCATCTTTAGGGCCCTGGCTGGCATAGCTCAGTGGATTGAGCGCGGGATAAGAACCAAAGTATCGCAGGTTTGATTCCCAGTCAGGGCACATGCCTGGGTTGCAGGCCATGACCCCCAGCAACCGCACATTGATGTTTCTCTCTCTCTCTCTCTCTCCTCCCTTCCCTCTCTAAAATAAATAAATAAATAAATAAATAAATAAATAAAATCTTTAAAAATATATATCATCCTTAAAGTAAAGCCCAACTTAAGTATGAAGAGGAAAAGTAAAACATTCTTAAGATGGTCAAGCCTTTCTACTTCAAGAACACTTTATTTAACAATATCGTCCGTACGAGTTAATGTGGGAGGCAGGTTCTGTGAGCTGTGACAGGATTTCCTGCTGCAAGAAGCCATCGAGCAGACGGAGGACTGTGAACCGCGCTCCTTACACCATGAAAGCAGAGTTCACATCGCCAGCATTAAGGTCTCTGGATTACTGCCGATCCTTGAAGCCCACCCGCTAACCCAGGACACCAGTATTTCACCAAGAACCGAGGTCACAGATGTTATGTGCACAGGACACACAACAGTTCTGTGATTTTTAGCAATGAGACATGACATTCAACAATAGTGTTTGCTCAGGAATCTGAAAGTAATTGTTTTATCACTCACTAAACAGATCCCTGCCTTAATAGTACATTCAAACAAAACTCCGGCTGGATTTTAAAAGTTAAATTTAAAAATATGAAACTACAAAAATATTTATCTGCCCTTGGGATGGAAAGAACTTTCGCTGCAAGAAAGCTATAGAGGAAACTACAAAGGAAAAGATCTCTAGACCAAACCACAACAATAATTTAAACTTATTATATGCTTTTAAAAAACAACGTGGCAAAAAGAACCAAAGGCAAACTGGGAAAACATTGGCAACCAACATAAAACACATAATTTAAGTTAAACCATATGAAGTTAAGAATATTCAACTGTTTTCGACCTGTAAAATCAATTTGAAGTATTTCAGCTAATATGTAAAGAACTCTTACAAAACAATGAAAATAAGATTATACCTGAAAATAAAAAGGTCAAAAGAAATGTACAATTCACATTAAAAATAATAAATGGATTTTAAAAATTCCAAAATCAATAAAATATATACTTTAAAAAGCTATATTTGATTATTTAATATCTCAAACTAGCAAAAACTGCATTTAAAAATCAGCCCCACTGTTACAGAAGGTACATGGAGATAGAAATTCTCACACACTTTCAACGGGAATGTAAATTTGTTAAAAATCCTTTCAGAGAACATTTTAGAAATACATATCAAAAGACTTAAAAATGCTCATTGTCTTTTATACAGTAACCTCCTTTCACAGTTATTAAGAAAATTTTAAAAGCAACTAAATGATAAGAAAAAGGCGAAATATTTTTTAATCATGATACAGCTATAATAGAATGTTTAGAAGGCAATAAACAATCACGTCTTACAAAATATCTGCTCTCAGAAAAAATAGTAAAAAAAATAAATATTAAGTGAAAAACCAAAATACTACTGTATAAACATTTTATCCTAATTTTATAAAATACAGGTATAAAACACAGACCAGGAAAAAAAAACCCTGAATGCTAACAAAATGGTGAGTCCTCTGGTTAGTGAGATTACGAGCTATTTTTAATCATGTCTTACAGTTCTTACAAAGTAAGATAAAAAACTATTTTGTCTTCATAAGAAAAAAATATGTTCCATTTTCCATCCCCACATACCGAATTTAAATTGTCGACTTAGAGTTTAAATAATCTACAGCACTAAAATGTTTATCTAATTCTCTCTTTCTGACAAGGCCAAGCTATAAAATATACAACCTGAAAATATTTAAAATACAGCTTACAAGAGACTTTAAAAAATGAACAGTTTCTTTTGTTTGCCAATACAACAAAACGAATGAGCAATTGTTTTAAAAATAAATTAAAAGAAATGCACTCAATCAAATGTCTTCTTGCTCAACTGCTTTTTACACAAAATAGAAATATTTTAAGTCAAACTGTAAGTTTGGATTTTATTATTATATATCCGTAATCAAAAACTCTTGAAAACTTAAACAATATTTAGTTCATGCAATTTTTACCCTGCCTGGGAAAGGAGCACACGATTCCACGGCC